GAAGCTTAGCCACGTTTTTAAGCCTTAAGGGGTCTTTATATAGTTGGGCTATTAGGGTTATCTAACAAGGAAACCCTAATTTGGATGCTTAAGCCCTAAGCAACCCATAGACTCCTTTTATCAAGCCCATGGACGATTTCCTTATGGCTTTCCCATTAGAATTCGTCCATCCCTTAATACAAGGCAATCCATGGCCCAAATTGCAATTATCTTATAATTACAATTCCAATCCCTTAAGTTTAATTAATCTCTTTTAGTCACAAAACTAATTACCAATTAATTATTGACTAATATTAATTAAACAATATGATTTCTCCTTTAATATATTATTCTCATAATACATTAACAAATCATATTTAATCCTTACTCTCCATAATCCATCCTATCAAGTTGCTTTGGTGAAGGCAACCCAAAAGGACCATGCACCATCGGGTCAAGTACATACCAAAATAGTTATGGACTTAGACACTAATCCAACAGGGGGGGCTGTTAGCAGAGACGCTGGGTTTATTAGCGGGTTGTCCATGAAGAGAGCGGTCAATGTTGTTTATTTGATGGGCCTTCTTCCACAATTATGTGACCCGCGGAGTGAGCTCCTTTTGCTTCGATCGTGTATGGGCATTGGAAAACTTTTCTTTGGTTTAAGGACATGCCAGTCGGTACACATAGAAGAGGCAGCGTTATTTTTTGACAAAGGATTGCGCAGGTCTATCGAGGATATGGTGGTATGTGAAGGCCCCTTCTTTGGAGACATTCAGTGGCGCTTGGCTTCCTTACCTATTCGTTATGGTGGTTTGGGTTTGTACTCAACCTACGAGGTTTCCTCCTACGCATTTGTAGCCTCGAGGGCCCAATCTTGGGCATTACAAGACCACATCTTATGTGACAGTGGCATATGTGGTATGGACTCAAATTATCTATGTGCTATGACTCGTCTCCGCGATACGATTCCAGGATTTAATTGTAGCGGTTTCATTAATTAGGACACCGCTCCCCCTAAATCCCAAAAAGCTTTGGCGTGTGCCTTTTTAGCAAAATCGTCCAAGATATGGAAGTCGACTTCGACATGACTGTCAGACAAAACGAAATCTTTGAGTGTCTGCAGGCGCCTCATGCTCAGGATTTTCTGCTAACTATCCCTATTGATGGTCTTTGCCAGCATATGTCTCCTGTGGAGTACCGAACTATCCTTCGTTACCGCCTCATGATTCCCATATTCCCAATTGACGAGATATGCCCTGTTTTTTGTAAGGCATGTTTGGATACCTTTAGGGAACACACAGTTCATTGTAGAGAGCTCCCTGGTTTCAAGTATAGACATTATGTGGTTCGGGATGTTCTCTTTTATGCTTGTCGGCGTGTTGGTATTTCTATGAAGAAATAAGCGGCAATGAACTTTTAGACGGACCCGCATGATGGCAGGTCGACACTTAGACTGGCTGACATTTTGGTCTTTGGATGGATAGGAGGGAAGCATACGTGTGTGGATCTTACCGGGGTCTCTCCTCTCGTTGGTTTGGGGAATGGAGGTTTCGCAGCTGGGCATGCCGCTTTGAAAGTTGTTGCGTGCAAAGTGGTAAAGCACGAGAATGCATGTAGAGATAATCAACATATGTTTGTTCCTTTTGCATTCGATACATTTGGTTTTCTCACACCAGAGGCGGTGGAGCTCCTTAATAGAGTCCAACAGGTCATGCATTCTAATGTCATATCTCCTAGATCCACAAATATTGTTTTCAAAAGAATTGGTTTTGCCATCTAGAAATGGCTAGCGGCGCAGCTTGTTGCCCGTTTGCCTTCAACCGATATGTATTGAACTTTTATGTTTTAATTAAAAAAAAATTAACTCTAATATATATATATATATATATATATATATATATATATATATATATATATATATATATAGGTAAAGGTTCAAATGATAACCAAAAAAGATTAAGAACCTAAGAACCAACTAATTAAGGGAAATTCTTGTCAAAACACGGAATGACATAAGTTGTGATTCTCACAAAATAGAAGGTTTACTATGCATCATTTAAGCAAAAAAACACGGTGGCAATTTCGTGAATATTCTAAACATATTACCCGATTCTTTAATATGTCGGAACATATCAAAACCCTAATTAAATTCACGACTTTTTCGAAACAACAAAACTCCCTCATTCAATTCACTTCAACACGATCTTCGTTCTATTCTACTGATTTGGAAATAATCGAACGATAATTCTATAGAAATCTATTCAATACGATGACAAAAAGGCGTAAAACAATAGAATTTGGAAAAAAATCGACAGACAACTGATGAAGGAATGACGACGAATATTTTAGCTGAAGAAGCTCAATTCACAACGATCAAAACTACGTCTGAAAAAGAACAAACATTGAAGAGGATGATTTCAACAGACGAATCTCAACCTACAAAAAAGCAACCATCATCAAAAAAAGGTAAAACCCTAAATACAATATAAAAACTAAATAAATTCAAAAAAATTGCAAAAATGAAAAAATATTAGATGATTATTATGTTATAACGTAAACTTTTTTAAAAAAGTATCAATGTGTTAAATTGTGAATTTGAGCTTTTATAGATTTGAATATAAAAATAGTTTTGAATTATGCACATCATGGATCGATGAGTAATACCATGTGACTTAGTGTTTATCTTTGTAGAACCTTTTCTTACATCAAAACCAACTTTAGCAGCGTAAGCCCTATACATATCCATTGCATCTTCAGTACTCAGATATTTGCTAAACAACTTTGGTTTAACATCATCAACATCCTCAGGAATCCATATTTTACGAGTTCCACCAGGAGAGAAAAATTCAGAAAATCTATCTTGACCTAATAAGAAAAATAAAAACATATATCAACTTAAAAGACACATATTGTAATATATGAACAAAAACAATTGAAAAGTCACAGTATAATTACATTTATATTATACATAACCAAATACATTCACTGGTTAATAACAGTTAGAAGATTGTAATTATACTTAAAAAACATTTATCAACAAAAAATACAAATATTATAAAAAAAAGAGAGAATTAACAGTTTAATTAGAAATAAAAAATAAAATTAACAAATAAAACCTTTATTTCAGACATTTACATGTGAAAACAAATACAGTTACAACACCATATTTACAGTTAAAAAACTATTTATCATATTAGAAGACACATATTGTAATATATGAACAAAAACAACTGAAGATTCACAATATAATTACATTTATATTATACATTACCAAATACATTTACAGGTTAATAACAGTTAGAAGATTGTAATTATACTTAAAAAAAAACATTTTTCAATAAAAAATACAAATATTATAAATAAAAAATGGAGCACAGTTTAATTGGAAATAATAAATAAAATTGACAAATAAAAACTCTATTTCAAACATTTACATGTGAAAACAAGTACATAAATAAACAAAATCAGATTATAATAACAGTTACAACACCATATTTACGGTTGAAAACTATTTATCATATTAGAAGACACATATTGTAATATATGAACAAAAACAATTGAAAATTCATAGTATAATTACATTTATATTATACATAACCAAATTAATAACAATATAATTATATTTATAATTACATTTATATTATACATAACCAAATACATTCACAGGTTAATAACAATTAGAAGATTGTAATTATACTTAAAAAAACATTTATCAACAAAAAATACAAATATTATAAATAAAAAACAGAAAAAGGAGAATTCACAGTTTAATTGGAAATAATAAATAAAATTAACAAATAAAAACTCTATTTCAAACATTTACATGTGAAAACAAGTACATAAATAAACAAAATCAGATTATAATAACAGTTACAACACCATATTTACAGTTAGAAAACCATTTATCATATTAAAAGATACATATTGTAATATATGAACAAAAATAATTGGAAATTCACAGTATAATTACAATTATATTATACATAACAAAATACATTCATAGGTTAATAACACTTAGAAGATTGTAATTATATTTTAAAAAACATTTATCAACAAAAAATACAAATATTATAAATAAAAAAACAGAAAAAAAGGAGAATTCATAGTTTATATTGGAAATAATAAATAAAATTAACAAATAAAAACTCTATTTCAAAATGCAAAATAAATGGAAAAATCTAAAAATTCTTTTTTTAAATATTATTTTCGGAACTTGAATTAACTAAAAAAAAATCCTATTTTTTTTTTTAAAAATACGTGAAATATTCTAAATAGAATATTACACTGTACATATTCTAAAATGCAAAATAAATGGAAAAATCAAAAAATTCTTTTTTTAAATATTATTTTCGGAACTTGAATTAATTAAAAAAAATTAAAATAAAAAAATAAAAAAATACGTATTACGGTCTCACAAAATTAAACCGTCTCACATGAACCTATATATATATATATATATATATATATATATATATATATATATATATATATATATATATATATATTCTATTTAAGGGTGTATTTTGTTATGATATGGAAACCGGGATGATTCCCGAATCAAAGAAGCCGAGAAAAGCTGTAATAGTTTTGAAACTAATTTTTTTCAAAATGATTAAAGAGAAAAAAAAAATATTATATTTAACTTTTAAAAACTCCGGAATTTAAGAAATTTCAGTTGAAGTTTGTTTAAACAAAAGTGAAAAGTGAAAAGTGAAAGTTGGTTAGGAGACCAATTCTTTAAAAGTGAAAAAGAGAAGTTAGCTTTTAGTTGTCGATCCAATTCCCATGACCAAGGGCCAACGGTATCCTTTTCCCATACCATAATTCTCCAAATACAAACCAACGTACAAATCATAATGCGTAATTTACAGCTGTAATGCAATTCCAGTTATCTGGATACGGAGGTTTGAGAAGAACATAAAAGCTTATTCAATATTAAACCCCACAAACAGGGCCTACTGTTATGGGAATCTTAACCGACCCGACCCTTTGTAGGACCCATTTCCCCAACCCATACGCAACATCTTCTCGAAAACTCTATAAATAAGATGCTAATCTCACCATGCTTAGGCTTGAAGAAGCAAACAATCTTCATTCTTCAAAACATTATAACAGATTCGAAAATGGTGGGACCTTCTCTCAATGCTCCGAAGCCTCCGACCACAGCCGCAACAATCAAATTCCTGTGTAGTTATGGCGGGAGGATTCTTCCTCGGTATCCTGATGGCAAGCTTCGGTATCACGGTGGCCAGACACGTGTACTCTCCGTTGCTCGCTCCATCTCGTTCTCTGGTTAGTGATTGATTTTCTTTGTTTTAATTCCATAGAGTTAATGAGTAGATGTGGATTGCTGATTGAGATTTAATTTACTTGCGATTTACAGAATTGATGGCGAAACTTGGTGAATTGTGCGGGAAGTCGGCGAGTTTGAGATGTCAATTGCCGACGGAGGATTTAGATGCGCTTGTTTCCATTACATCTGATGAAGATCTTGTGAATCTCGTTGAGGAATATGATCTAGCAGCTTGTCTACAATCGTCATCTCTAAAAATTAGAGCGTTTCTATGTTTTCCAAAGAAATGCTCTCCGACTCCTTCCACCGCCTCTGCCTCTGGATCTGCATCTAGTTCTTCCACAGGCACACCTACGCTTGAGGCGGCGTCACCGCAACCTCCTTCTCCATCTTCTTTTTATCCGGCTTCGAGGTTTCCTGTTAGCGCAACAAATCCATACATCCATACAGCACCGTTGAAACCCCCTGTAAAACTTCCATTCTGCTACAACAAATCCGCCGGAAAGCTTCCTTGTAATCCGTATAGAAATTCCAACCGGTTTTGTCTCGTTCACAATGGAAACCATTGGCAATAACAGCTTAAGATCCGGAAGAGAAATAATTTGGTATCGTGAAGTTCATATAAACAACCAAAATCCACACTATCTAATAGAGGATGAAACGGTAATATAACGGAGAAAATCGAAAAACAAGGAAATGATGGTGAGAGATATCGGATATGTGATGTATGATTGGGACTGTAAATAATATTAAGATTCGGATCGGTATTTTCTAAGATCCTGCAATGAATTAAAAAAAAAAAATCTTAAGTTTGGATCCAAAATTTCCTTTTGGTGAATGCATCGTCAGTTTTTATCTTATTTCGATTATCTTCTTCGTCGATTTTCTCCCGTTGCTTGTCGCCTCCATAACCTCATCTGATCTGATCTTTCTCAGGCTCTCTTTGTCGTATTCCGATGAATTGATGATCAGATTTTGTAATGTTTCGTGACTGGTTATTATCATTATCTTCTTCCTCCATTACCCATTACAACATCTCCACGTACATATACGTGTTGCGTGTTCCTATCATTGGTTGTTCTCATCTAACTGTTGTTTGTCTGGTTTGGTTTCTTTCCAACATCATCTTCTGATCTTCCTGATCTTATCTTTTTCAATTTAAAAATATTTCTGGAATCATTGCAGGTTCAGGAATCGGGACATTATCTTTCGCTTGCAATTCCAGTGGAGATATGATCATCCTAAGCTGCTTGCAGGTACACCTTGTAACCATAACATTCATTCCAATGTCAATGTGTGGGTCCGATTCAGTTGCATCGATAAAATGGACGATCAAAAACAAAGTAAAAAAATTCATTTTCTGTCAATATTGATACATTTTTTTTTTTTTTTTTTTACCGAGAAGTTGTCGTAATTTATTTTATAGCAAATATAGTATGTGCTTTACAACAGATTTATCAAAAAGTTATTGTTGAGAATTTACTGAATTAAGTTTTTTTTTGGTAGCTGAAGTCATCAAAGTATATGAGGAGTCGATTGTTTTGGGTGGAATATTATTAAAATGGAAAATAGATGATATTTTGGTGGGTCATTTTATTCTGATTGAAGATTTGTATGGTGGGTTTTGCGGTTTGGACTTTTTGGAGTTGGGCCAACTTTAAGTGGTGGGAGTCGGAAAGCTTGGCACGACCGTTGTTATAAATATAGAATATTCTATTTGGTAAAAAGAAAAATTAAAATTGGTGGAAAGGTTGCAACTGGAATTGGAAGGGATAACCCAAAAATAGAGCAGAAAGACAACTGAGATTTGAGAGGTTGAGACTATTGAGAGACTGAGAATAAGACTGAATTTAACGAGACAAAATATAAGATGAAATACCAAAGTCCTATGACCTAAAATATAAGGAGTATATGGTAAGATGTCATTTAGCCTGAGTTGATAGTTATAGGGGTGTTCGTTTGGATGAATCGGTGTAATCCGATCTGATCAAGTGAATCCAAATTAATTTCGGTTTTCAAAACGTAAATCCAAATAGTCCAAACTAAATTCAAATCCGATCCGATCCAACCAAATTATAATTCGGTTGGATCGGTTTTTTACAACTTGGTTTTCAAAAATTAAGACATTTTAACAAATATATAACTTTAGTATTAACTTACTTTATAATATAAATTAAAAATATTGTTTAATTAGTTGTGAATTAAAACTTATAAATAACTATCAAGAAAAATATATTATAATTTACTATTTTATAGACAATTGTTTTTGATAAAAAGTACATATTAAAATATTATAATAGATGAAAAATTTTAATATACTAAAAGAATAATTTAGTAAATTTATAAATTATTAAAGATATATATTAAAAAAAACAAAATAATAAATTGCAATTTGGGTTTTTTGGATTATTCGGTTTTTATTTTATAAACCAAGACCAATCCGAAATCTAAAATAATAATTCGGTTTTGCTAAAAACCAATTCAAAAATCCGAATATCCGAAACAAATAGTTCGATCCAAATTGTCCAATTGGACAATTCGCTTTTCTCCAAATAATGAACAGTCCTAGATAGTTATAATCCTACTTGGGATAAAATGTAGATTTAAGACGGGGTAAGTTAGAGGAGCTGGGCATTTGGTTCGTTTTGGTTGACATGGAATAAAATATGTTTTTAAAAAAGAATTAGAAAATAAATTTTATAATAAAACAAAAATACCCTTATTGATTTTTGTAGTTAATTATATTTTTTAATAAACACGACCAAGTTTTATTTAGTTACACCAGTCTTTATACAACTCTTCTACAAAATTTGAATTAAAATAATAACTATCATATATTTTGTTGAACACATACAGGTATATGTTTTTGATATGTGGTTTATCCCCATTGTATATTTGTAGTAACTTGCATACCGTAATAAAAAACCATATTATAACATTCATAACTTTATTCTAAAATGTAACAACTATTTGACTTTTTTTTGTATGTTTTCTTCTAGTTAGACTAATTCGTACAATTTCTTGATCATTCCCTACAAAAGGAAAATTTTACACTTCAAAGACAATAATTGATAATGTTGTAAAATTAGATTATTAACAATTTAAATTGTTGCAAGTTCAATTGTAATCAATTGGTAAACGCTATTAGTATAAAAAGGAATTAATTGGTCGTTTCAAATAACAAGTTTATCAAATAGAAATGTAGATGAAAGTAAAAAACTAAACACTTTGTCAATTTGATTTTGTGAAATTAGTCATTATTAATTATGGATTTTAAATAATTTAAGGACTTTTGTTATTTTCTTGAAGAAAATAAACATAAATGGTAAAAAGATGGGACACAAAAAAATTCATGCATGCAAAAAAAAAAAAAAGGAAAAAGTCATATTGTTTATATTTTATTTTACTTTATTTTATTATTATCTCTCAGTAGTAGGAGGATGGTTGTGTAATTTAAAATTAGGATAAAGAATTGAATTTACATTCTTGATGCATGGTGAAAGAATTAGATTCTTTCAAATGAGGAATTAAATGGTAATTATAGAAATCCAATTTCATTCCTTTAGTTACCCAAACATAATCTCCAAATGATTTTAATTTTCAGTTCCTTTTAATTTGTTAAAAACTAAGTGTGAGACTCATATATTACATGAGTTTATTTAAAATAAAAACTAAATACAAAATTCTAAACATTTGAGAAGTATGAATTTATAAGAAAAGTGAGAAAATATTGAAATATAAAAGTGTTTTTTTTTTCTCTTTTAAATTTAAACAAATAATTTAGATAAATAAACAAATAAAGTTTATAGAACTTTAATTTAGTAATTTTGAAATTTGAAGAAAATTTCATTAATGAAATTGATATGCATTTATTATTACATTTAAATACTATCTAGATTTTAATAAAATGGAAAAACCATAAAATAACATTTGGAATGAAAATTAATTTAAAATAACCATAAAATCACATTGAAAAAATAAATAAAAATGCGACATGTGTCAAAAATATCTTTATTTATTTGGGAGGATTATGTGAAACAAACTCACTCTATTGATATTGTTAATTTAATTTTGGGAGAAGAATGAGAGATGGAGGAGAATTAACTAACCTCTCTCCATTCATGTAACATTCACGTAGGCATAAGATGAGATGGACATTAGAAGAATATATTTAAGAATCTTCCTACCTAAAAGAATAGTTTTATTCTCCTCTTGATATGTGCCATCTTATTAAACCTCATGATTAATGCATATTTTATTCTCCTTTTGCCATGTATCATCATATTATATCTCCTAATTAATACATGACATTTGTAAACTTATTGATTCTCCATTTCAAATTTAAAATTTAAAATTTCTCACTCTAATTATATTAGATTAATAAAACTAGAATAAAATTAAAATAAACTTAATACAAATTATAAAGTGATATAATTTCACATATTTATTTAAATCAATGATTAAAATTTATATAACTAAAAAAATCTCTTAATTAATAATTTATTTAAAATAATTGATTAATAATTTTTAGTTTTTATTTTAAAAGTTTAATTAATTATATAAACGTGGTTCCCACATGTTATAAACTAGTTTAGAATATATTTGCTCCAAGTCCTCCAATATTTTAAATTCTAAATGCATGCTAACATATGATCCTATGTGCAACTTAAAAAATATTAAATATCAAAATAGATTTTATTTTATGGATGTTAGGAATCAAAGAGAAAGATGATATTTTTTCTATGAATTTGATTAATCTATTTAAGAATAAGATGATTTGATTCTTATGCTATTTGTTACGATTCTTTCTTTTTAATTTGAGTGAGGATATAAAAATCAAATCATTATGTTTTGAAGTTAAATAAAAAATCTAAATTAAGATATCACATTCCAATAAAAAAAAATTGAGCATTTGAAACTAATACCGAGAGACACCAAATGTGATATTTGGTTGCAAGAATGAAAAAGTAATATACTTTTAAAAATTTATCAAAAATTTTATGAACTTTGTAAATAGTTAAAAGCCTATGGAAAAATGACTAATAAGATTAAGAAAGTTTCAAAAACATTCAAAAAAGACTATTGAAGTTTTGCATGTTCAAAAAACATCCAAATATAAACTATATATATAAAAAACACCATAGAATTATAGCTTTTGTTCAAATCTGACCCAGTGAAAATCAGTTCTTGTGGGTTACCTGATGACTTGGATTAAAAAATTGCTGAATTGGCCTAAGATTAATAACATGAGAGAAGATGAGATGACATGACATTTATGTGTGTATTTATGTTCTTTAAATCGAATTAGGGTTACCTCACTTATCTTAACACGGAGTTAGCTCGAAGAACATCATCTTCTTTTGTTCTTTGTATGGGTATTGTATCTTCAGGGCATATACCATTAGCATGCCATAGTTTATTGAAAGTGTTCTCTCTTTCTTTTGACAGTGTGTTGACCTTTTCAGAATCGTAAAACCCTTTTGGATGATAATTTGGACTCGTTTGAATGAAATTGAAAAAGGAGAAGTTATTAATAGGGAGTTTTATTAGTGACATAATGATATTGAAATCATTAGAGTGAAATAGGTACTTAGATTTTGTAGACTTTGAGGAATGAATGATCAAAAGTTGGTTGAGGAGAGATGTGTACACAGTCAATCATATCTCCATCTGGTTTCCACCTTTAAGAACTTAGATTGCCAAGAAAAAAAATGTTTTGCTAAAGAAAGTTTGGCTGGAAAACTCATGTTTGTCCGTAAAAGACACCAAAATCTAGCAAAATCTACTATAGACAGTCATATTGGTATTGTTTGAACAATTTCAACAAGTTTAATGGTAGTTTAAGCACAAACATAAGTTTAGTGATTAACTTTGCATAAAAGTAAAATTTGGTTACCCTTACAAGCCTTTGTCCTAATTATAAAGATGAAAATGGCTTATGAATGTTACAAAAATTATCAACCATTCGGAAAACAAGAGTTTGGCAATGAATACATTTTGCATTTCATACCTTAGCATTATTTTGCACTCATAGTTTTAAGTGGGTCAGTGCCCCCATCATATGTGTTAACTAACATCAAACTCTTTTTAGAACGATAAGGACTTTGGGAAAGTTGCAAAATTATATATAAAATTTATTAAATCATGCCAAATATTTATATAATTTATTAAATCATGCAAAATATCTATCACCAGCTATAAAAAACACATTGTGAAAAAAATATATATACATGATATTTTGAAGGCATATTTATTGGTTAAGAATATACTTTTCTATAAACTATAATAACTTATTAAAAGAATTTGAAAATGTTTTTTTTTTAAATAATTCTCTTTTATAATTCATACTTTCATCTTTTAAGGTATTAATGTTATTTAGAGCATCTCTAATCAGATTTTTTTTTTGACTTATTGCTGTTCACTTATTTTAACTAAACACTCAATCCCATTGGAATGTATAATTTATTTGGGTTTTTTTTTATTAACCACTCAATATATATTGACCGATGAATATACTATATTGGTTTGAATATTTAATCCATTTGTCTTTGATGATATGTCATATTACCCCTTTAATTATATTAAAGTTTTGAATATATTTTATTTTTATAATATTTATTTATTCTATTATATATCATACTCGATAAGTATAATATACATGTATATTACAAATCATAATAACTGATAATACAAATACACTAATATTTATAATAAATTTTAATTAATATACATGTATATTACAAATCATAATAACTGATAATACAAATAAACTAATATTTATAATAAATTTTAATAGATGATAGGGTTTTATAAAACATTTTAATTGTTGAGATAAATTAGTTAAATTTATGAAAAAAGCTATAGAAAAAGTTAACCCAATGGAGTTGCTATTTAATTTGGGATCAACGTTAAAGGAATGATGATATGTCATTTATTTTGAGTTATAGTGTAAGTTAAGCATTGGATATGCTCTTAGTACATATTATGATAACATTCGTTTGGATAAACGGAAACATATGACAAAGAGTTGATTGAAACAAGGACAAATTATGGTTAATAGAAAACTATCTAACTTTAGTTACCAGCATGGGCAATGTATTTCATTTTATTTAGTAACATACTTCATTCTGTAACCAAAATAGGTATTCTGCTTTATTATTCTATTTTCTAAGACATGTAATGTAAATGTTAGGAAGTAAAGCAAAAAACAAGCAAAACCAAAAAGCATACAAGACATAGTATTTATGTGGTTCGATCAAGGTAACATACATCCATGGGCAGGAGGGGAGTACTCTTTATTTATGAGCTCTCAAACAAAGGTTACAAGTATAATTTCAATAGCGATTTGCCTATCACTCTAGAATACAAGACACACCAAATGACTTAGCCTGCATCCCTAATTATACTTGATGGATCAGACCTAAAACCCTAATGGGCCAAGTTACTCATTGGGCCATAGGCCCATGAAATGTGTCAACCAATCATATTCGCCATGAAGCATCTTCTTGAACATTCATCCATGACATACAACACACAAGTATCAGCAACACACATAATGGAGCACCATGAGCCATAGTGGAGCATCATGATGTACATGTGGCACATCATAAACACTAGTGACCCGACATTCATCATCGAGACACAACATGGTGTATTAATTTAGCTTCACCAAGTTTTGAGCATCATAGAGGACTTCATAGCATATGTGGCTCATTATATCGCACCGTGAACCAAGATGGCACATCTTGAATGATGATAGCCCATCTCATGCAAGGGTGGCATAAATCCTTCCCATTTGGCCCAACATCTTCACTTCGCGCAACGTCCTTCCAAAATGGCACAACTTCTACTAGACTGGCACAACACCTTTCCATTTGTTGCTCCAAATGATTCAAGTGAGTTCCAAGCGATCTATGAGAATGCTCCAAATGATCAAATCACATTTAACATTCTCTACCTTGACTTGAGTATCCTATAAACTCCACCTTAAACAATAACTTCCTCTCCCTTCCTGCTATTAAGCCGTGAAAGGGCTTACCACCTGCAAACATCAACCAAGTCTAAGCAAATCTTGAACTTCTCTATGGCCAACGACTTTGTCAGCATATCTTCTGGGTTCACCATGGTATAATCTTCAATATTGAAAACTTGTCTTCTTCCAGAATATCCCAAATGAAATTCATCTTGATATAAATGTGCTTTCTTTTCTCATGGTACACATGATTCTTTGCAAGACTTAATGCACTCTGATTATCACAGTATAAGACAGGCTTCTCTACCTTCAGACGAAGATTCTAAATAAGCCTATACAACCATATCTCTTCCTTTATTACTTTTGTCATAGACACATACTCATATTCAGTTGTAGACAAAGCAATGGTATCTTATAAAGTTGACTTCCAACTGATGGCACATTCGATCAAAGTGAATATGTAACACATTCGAGACCTGCACTTCAACAAAT